TGGTATTTTGTGGAAGAGCCACACTCAAGGGGCCAAAGAGCCGCATGTGGCTCGCGAGCCGCAGTTTGCTGACCACTGGCTTATACTGATACCCGGACACCCGCCTCTACCTTCCTGTCCCACCTCCATTCCTATGCTCCTGCTGCTCCCCCTGCTCCATCACTCACCACCACTCTTTGGCCCTCAACTCCAACATGTCACCTCGTCGCCTCCCCCCACTCCGGACAGCCACTATGATCTGGTTGGGCATGAGTGTCCCATGCCAGTCTACACAGCAGAAGTGACACCCTTGCCTGTCCATGTGTACCCTACGAGCCTGGTGCGGGGCCTGGCGAGGGTAGGTGCTCAGTAGGCATTTGACAAGCGAGGTAAAGCCACACTTCCATGGACAGGTGCAGAGCTGGGCAGAGATGGATCCCAGTTCCACGCAAGTGCTGGTGAGGTCACCGCCCAACACCACCCACGTCCCATCCTCTGCACAGCACCCCACACCTTCTACCCTCTCCCTGTTTAGTCGTGTGGGCTTTGTTACCCGCCCCCCTGCTCGGCCCTGGGCTAGAATTCACGCTCCATGATGGCGGTGACTTTGGCTTGTTCGGCGGTACCTCTAATATTTGTCAAATGTAGGAGGAAGACAGGCAGTGACTGGGGCCACTGTTTTAGATGAGGTCGCCAGGCTGAGGTGTGGGTGACAATACAGAGCCAAGGCTGCAGAAAGAACAAGAGGGGATGGCGTGGTCTCGGGCTTGGAGTGCCCGGCGACCAGCAGGCGCCAGTGCAGCCTGCAGTGCAGGCCCTGGGCTGAGCTGGGGAAGGCTCCCTGGGCTGAGCTGGGGTGGGGAGGGAGCCCTCCGTTCCCTGCCCCCTGACACTGGAAGCAGTGAGGACTGCGGACTGAAGACAGAACAATAACATAGCTAATACTTACTGAGTTCTCACTGGCTGGTCTAAGTGCTTCACAATTACTAGCTCGTTTAAACCTCCCACAGCCCTATGAGAAGACGCTCCGGGAATCCCCAGGCAGCCTTAATATGGCTGGTGAAGAGCCGGCGGGTTACAGGCAGCCTGGCTCCCAAGGCTCGGTTTGTAACTAACAAGCCGGCTGTACCTCCTCTGAGGCCTAGATGGGAGTGACTTCTGAGTCCAAACCCTCATTTTACAGGTGGGGAAGGTGAGGCTGGGAGAGGAAAGGTTTAACCCAGGGGCAGAGGTCATGGCATGCAGGTCTCCGGGCTCCCAGGCCAGCGTTCTTGCCACTCTGGGGGGTGCTAGGGCTCAGCCGGTGACCAGCCACCCTGAGTTACATGATGGAGTGCACAGTGCTACTCTCCCTACGCTTGGTTTCCCACAACAAAATATTGTTGGCGTGTGTCTGTGTTACACACACTCACATACATGCATAGGGATGGGGAGAAAGAGGAGGGCCAGGGAGAGGGCCCTTTGCTCCTGCCTCTGAGCCATGACCGCAGGACCATGGTCATCCTACCTTGGAGGATCTAGGGAGCAAGGTGGGGCAGTCCCTCCTCCAGCCCTGGCTCTCCCAGCCCCTCCCTTTCTTCCATCCTTCCCTCCAGATGCTTCCCTCCCCACTCTCCCCCTGGGAGCTACTCAGGCCCAGGGCAGTGGGAAGTCTTGAATATTTAATTGCCTTTCGCCTTGGGGAAGCAGGCAGGGCTGTCAGGGAGAAGGAAAACAGGAAGGGTTGGGGTGGGAGAGGGGTGTGGAGGACGAAGAGCCTCTGTCAGGCCAGAGGTCAGGCCAGGCCTGGGTGGAGGTGGAGCAGTTCCGAGTCTGAGTCTGAGGCCCAGCC